TGTCACCGCAGATTGCGCAGGCAATCTGCGCAATCTGAGAATTCTCAGATTGCGCAGCGCAATCTGCAGATTGCTCAAATTCTCAGATTGCGCGGAACATATACATTGGTATGCTAAGCTTTGTGAAATTCTAGCCTGGCCGTTCTTCGGTGTTCCGGTCTTCAGCGCCCGACAGTACTGTAGTAGATCCTCCAACTTTTACCAGTCCAGTACACTGGTCTACCAGTCCAGTACACTGGTCTACCAGTCCAGTACACTTGTCCGTAGCTGAGTTTTGTAGTGTATCTCTAGTTATCACAAATGTCGGGGTTCCAGCCAGGTCAAAATAGTGTGTGTGTGTGTGTGTGGGGGGGGGGGGGGGAGAGAACACAGTTACCCCATGACCCATTTTCGAAAATTGTCTTGCCATGCCAACTGCAATATACGGGGCGAACCCCCAACTTCACCCCCGACAAACGAGCCTTTATGAACCCTCTAGCAGTGATTACCCTTAGGCTGCTGCATACAAGTGTTGCACGTGCGTATAGAGCAGCCAGACATAACCACCAGGCCTCACCCTATTTCACTCATGCCCTGAGCATTCTTTGCGATTTTCATCAGTTCCTTGGCATAGTTCTCTTCAGCCTTAGCTCTGCAAAGAAAGAAGACAAAGTAAAGTTCATACAGCCGCGTTACCACCGGCTATACAATTGTGTTGAGAAACGTAACCAGCTGGTAGAAGTTTCCTTCGTGCCAGGCCACCACCATGCTTGATTGTACCAAGGTGGCAGATGCAGCACCTAACGGTGAGGGTGATATGGTAAGCCCACGACCAGTGCCCGACAAGAGGCGAAGCCTCATTAGCTGCATTCATGTTACCCTCATTCTGAGTGAGTACCCAGTTGACCCTGGATGCCGGCGCAATTTATTGCAAGATAAGTGGTTCACACGTAAGCAGAGCGAACGCTCCTTGCTATCAGCACGGGTATCGAACTTCAGGCCTCAATATTCACACGCCAAACACAGCCAAAATGATGGGACAAAAGCGAATCGAAGTCTCATAATAATATAATAGTTCTATTACAACAATCCACCGATTGAACAAGATAATGAACAAACAGACAGTATGATGAGTGTGCACAGACAGACACTTAAAAGCAGTAACAAGACATTCAACAATACATGTTTGTTTGAATATATGTGTGTGTGTGTGTGTGTGTGTGTGTGTGTGTGTGTGTGTGTGTGTGTGTGTGTGTGTGTGTGTGTGTTCATATTTCAAGAGACCGAATCAATGTTCAGAAACCGCGCCGCATCCTCAAGTGACACCTCAGAGCAATAAACGCGTTCTATGTTCTGCGCACCTAATGGAACCTTTACGCGGGTTGGCACTCTATCAAGCGGTTGGAAGTTTCGTTTGTTATCAGATTGGTTGTTCTCAGGCTCCATTCTTGTCAAGACAGCGATTTTTCACAGAATTAGAGAGAGAGAGAGAGAGAGAGAGAGAGGAAGGGGGGGGGGGAGAGGGGAGCGAGAAAGAGAGGAGGAGGAGGGGTTGCACGCATTTCTTCAACGTTTTGGAGGGTGCAGCCTGCTCCGTGCAAAATGGAAAGTAGATAGGCCAACACACGTGCAGTTTGCACAGTCTTCTACAGTATGACCGGAGTGGTGCAATCGTGCTCTCTCTCTCTCCTCTCTCTCTCTCTCTCTCTCTCTCTCTCTCTCTCCCCCCCCCCCCCCTTCCCAACCTAAATCTAGCACCTCTCGTTTTGTTTTGATCACTTGCCTCTGCTTGAGGAATTCCTCAAAGTCAGCTGTCATTCGTTTCCCATCCTTCAGGCGCTTGATCAGTGCCTCATATCCTTGAACTCCGGTGAAATCAGTTTCCTTTTCAACACAAACCAAATAGCAACAGAAAATTACTGGGATATAAAAGCTGATATTAGGCCAGAAAAGACCATGTACCAGTATTATCTATTTGCAGTGGTAGACAGTTCCTGATAACTTGTATCCATTCCATGTGTCCCTGCTCCTTTTTACATAATTATAATATTGGCTCAATATCTGAGTTTGAAATAATATTAGTAGGTCTAGTGCATGTAATCATATTGGTACATGTAAACTCAAATTGGTCGATTTCATTAATCTGGGTAGGTCTCTCTGCGTCTACCAGTGATACAACTAGCTGACAATGATACAGGAATAGAGTCTGATTCACATGGTCATCAGTACAGCTGGACTCTACTGAACTCGAGGAGAGTACAGCGTTCCACACATGAACTTTTGAAAGTACTGTAGATCTGTATGCAGGAGTTCATGTAATACAGCAGATACTATGAGCCCCCGAGTACCTACCCAAAAGTTGTCCACGAAGGCCATGATGGCCAGAAAATTTCCAGCTGCACAGGTGCTTTCTTCCCATGCACTAAGGTCTTCGTTCTACTATTACCACCTGCCGGTTGGCCAAAGTAGCGGCCAAATTCAGACACCAGAGTCTGGGAAAGAATCAACACTATTTCTCTATCGTGTTCAGGACAGCGTTACTGACAGACAGTCTGAGAACATGAACAGTTGTAGTGCATTGGATATTCCAGACAATGTATAATGCTCGAACGATACTAGTACTCCACTGACCATAGGTCTTGTAAAATCCAAGATCTAAGAATATTCTGTCAACGAAGAGGAAAAATCTGAACAAACAACACATGTGAGCACTGCATGCTGTTCAGTAAAAGGCATCCTAGCTTGGAGGTGGACTTGGAGGAGCTGAGTACTGTCTGTACGATACTATCGGTAGTTGGTCTGTCTGTAGACCACTGTAGACTGTGTAGTGTAGTCTGTGCAGATCAGCATGATCAGAGAGAGAGCATGATACCACTTTTACCAGTGCAGTGCGCGCGAGTCCACAGGTCCACGATCGATCTGTCGACTGCACACTGTACTGTACTACTAGAAGTAGTACTGAGTACTGAGTTACACTACCGGTACTATCAAGAGTTCATAATAATTATGAACTCTTGCTAGTAATATTGAGTATGTACTGTGACTGTCATGACACGTCATAGGCGCTAGGCATAGGCTGTAGTCATTGGTAGTCAGGGTAGTGTAGATCCTGCACTCGACCGTTTTGTCATGTATTGTTGTGTGTGCATATGTATGTACATGTACGTATGTGGCAGTTCAACTTTATACGTCATGGTCGGATCGATTGTAAACAATAAAACATACTTAATATAGTATGTGGGAAAAAAATTAATTTCCTGATATCATTGTCGAGTACAAAAATACACAATAGTCATTGCAACGAACACATTTTTTATCTTCTGAGTACTAGTATAGTAGTAGTCTTTCACAAGTTGCTTCACAATGGTAAGAAAGCTAAAACACCACGAGCAAAAGCTCCTGAAGAAAACCAACTTGGTTTCTTGGAAGTCAGACAACCCTCGAGAAGTGAAAGTGATGCGAAAATACCATTTGCAAAAGCGAGAGGATTATCACAAGTGAGTATGTATTTTCAAGTTTGAATTGCTTGTCTACTTTAGCAGGACAGCTCGTGTAGGACCTCCTCTTTATTTCGGTATCCAATTTGCCATTTTACTTGAAAAGTCACCAGTTTCTTCCTGCTTTGGGTTTCCTGTGGATCTAAAACAGGCCCCTCAAACTTGAGCTATTATGAATGAAAATATTTAATCACCGTTCAAGAGGAAACACAGCATTTCAAGTTAGGCCATTGCCTTCATATGAAGAGATTCTTCCTGCACTGTAATGCTGAAAACTTCTGCGCCAGTTTTATCTTGCAATTATTTGCATGCACCATACATCTGCACAATACTCTCCAAGCGGTCTCTGGACACCAGCAACTTACTGGCCGCTGGCAATGTTAGTGAATTGACTCACATAGGGTTTATTATTATTTTTTATTTGAGTTTGTAGCACTTACAGTACAGACATAAGATCTACATATCAGCGTTGCCACCGGCTATACAATTATGTTACCAACCAGCTTAGCACTTGGCTTTCCCGAAATACGATCGATCGTGAAAGCTTTGCTCGGTGCTAAATCGCACCACGCTATAAAGAACAAAGGAATGACACAGACCGTAGAACATGAGCCATCACGCGTCTCCGGTCATTAAGCTTGCATACCTATAATTGTAGGCTAGATCATGCAGCTTACATTAGTAGGTGCCATCTCCTGTACTGTTGTTCTCTACAGTCATGTGGGAACATGATTGTATTGGCTCGCACAGGAGTGTGTGGATATCAGTGCAGGCAGGGTTATGATTGGGTTAGCTGCTGGGCAGGCATGGGAGTGGATACACTGTGTGTGTGTGTGTGTGTGTGTATGTGTGAAATCTGTGGGTGCACATCCAGTGCATTTGCAGATTTGCATGCTTCTCTTGTGACGGGCGTATACATGGTACATGGTGTGTGTGTGTGTGTGTGTGTGTGTGCCTGTGTGTGTGTGTGTGCCTGTGTGCGTGTGTGTGTGTGTGTGTGTGTGTGTGTGTGTGTGCCTGTGTAGGTGTGCCTGTGTAGGTGTGCCTGTGTGTGTGTGTGTGTGTGTATGTTGGTGTGCCTGTGTGTGTGCCTGTGTGTGTGTGTGTGTGTGTGTGTGTGTGTGTGTGTGTGTGTAGGTGTGCCTGTGTGTGTTAGTGTCTTGGTGTCATTCACATTAACTCCATGCTGTTTGCATTATTAACGTAACTTGCATCATGTCTAGCGCGAACCGTGATTTTTTGTTTTTGCATCATGCCTGTTCAAAGTTTCACCTACACAGGCTATAGTTTGTTACTGACTGTACTTGTAAGAATGATTCTTACTGTAATGTACTTTCTTCTGTGAAGGCTGCTAGAATCAACCAATTCTAACACGGTGCTAAGAGCTAGCACTACATTCTAGTTGCGCTGGTGTGGGTGTGTGTAGGTGTGTGTGGGTGTGGGTGTAGGTGTGTGGGTGGGTGTAGGTGTCGGTGGTGTGGTGGTGTTGTTCTAGCGCTAGGGGGGATTTGTGGGTAGATATTGGCTGCGTGCTCAATGCCTCACTTCTTTTTCTTCTCCCAGGAGACACAAGGTGCGGGTCAAGATGTGGCTTGTGTGTGCACTTTGTTGAGCATGTACTCTCCAGGTGATGTAGGTCAACTCGCTTAGCATAGTGCTAGTCTTTGATCATGACTGCATGTTCCACTCACTCAGCATAGTGTGCATAGTTGCTAGTCTCTCATCATGACAGCGAGTGTTCATATTCGCATACTGTGCATTTGCTTGCAGGTATACCATGCTAGCCAACGATGCGAAGAACCTTGCCACCAAGCTCAGAGGGTTGCCACCGGCTGATTCCTTCCGCCTACAGATGACAGATCAGCTGCTGGAAAAGCTGTGAGTGATAGCAAGATTGCATTAGCCGAAGTGGGTAGCCACACATAGGGGTTAAAGATGACGCTGTTTGTTTGTTGTTGAATAATATTGCCGTGTCATTGTAGTGTATATAGTAAAAGTGGATGTTGCAGATTGTACAGGTGCAGCGCAGGACTGTTATGACTCTCGCGACTAATGATTCAATTGAAATAGGATAAACACCAACTTCAAGGTAAACTGTCAGGGGAAGCCAACTGCCTTAACCCTTTAGGGCCCACAATTATTTCAAGAAATGCACTGCATACGCGAGCCCAGGTACTCATCTGGTCGTAACTTTGGTGTCCATTGGCCGATTTTGGTGATCTAGAACTTTCTGGAAAGCTCTTGGCCAGAGGAACACACGATACCCAGCAATACATCACTCGATCCACAGAACCAGCGCCGCAGCGCGATACGGCGTTCCAAAGCCAGCATTGCGAGCGCCCAACTCAAATTCTCTGCCATTTCAACAAATTGCATCGCAGATCGCTCAATTTTTTTACTAGTGACCTGAGAAACATGCCGTTGCGAAGACGTGAACTATCTGTAGCTGCGTGGGCCGCGAGTCAGAGAAAACCCCTAAAAACGAGTTCAAAATGCACGCGCTCGAGTTGACTCTGTTGAACGAATTTAGTTCGAGTCTCGTATGTCCGCTCTCCGAACTCGGATCGCTTTCGGGTTTTTTCGAGCCGATAGCTGAGACAATTCTAATGTCGATGGCCCTTTCGATTGTCCGATTTGGTCAAGGGACAGCCGAGTTACGCCAGGTTGCGCTTTGAAAAGTATGCACTGTACCCTGGTACGGATATATCCGTACTATGGGCCTCAAAGGGTTTAAAAGGCCACACCGTTTTTTCTATGTTTCGCGTCCCCGCGCACGTGTATTTCACAGCCAGAGTTCCCAAAAAAAGTAACATGATTGTACATGTACATGGTAACTATTATGTTGGCATCATTTGTTCTATTTATTGCATGATTGTACCCAGCTCACATACATGTACATGTACCTGTGTGTGTAAGCTGGGCCGCAAGTCACGCAGTAATCATGCCGCCTGTGTTTGGACCACACGCATGGCAGAGGCTTGGCTTCCCATCCAGCTGATAATGCTGACACAGTTTGGCCAGTTGTTACCAATCAGTAGAGTTTGCATTGTGCAGTAAACTTACTTTGCGACATTGTATTGAAATGAATACACTCATGACCCATGTATGCATGTGTGAATCAATATACATGAACAGTGCCGAGTCTCTAGCTCCACTGTACACAAATGCAATGCACGTACACTTTTTTTGGATGGCTTTATTTGTTCGCCCTCCCTCATTGATTTCATCGAATAAGGTAACGCGAAACATAGAAAAAAGCGGTGTGGCCTAAAAGGGAACAAATGCCAGCCCCGCCAGGACTCTATCCTGGCGCCCGCCAGGACTCTAACCTGGGACATTGCTTATCATGAGCAATGCCCCATGAGCTATGGGACGAGGCCGAACCTAGAAGTCGTCGACAAGCTTTTCAGTTTTCACTCCAAAGGCAGCTCACAACACGCACCACACATGTTGATGGCACTTGGGTCTAGTGATTCATCCGAAATTTCGTAAACAACGAATCTCATTTTTCTTACCTGGCAGTTGCGAATTCTGGTGTAAGGTGATATTTGTGCAAGAAATGACTTGTTCTTGCCACTGCCACTACATTGCAGCTCTGGGTATTGAAATATGATATGCCGGTATGTGTGATACACAATGACAGCAGTGACACGACACATACGAGTACTACTGATTGTGCACAGACAAGCTCAACACATCAAGACTCAGCAAGAGACAGCCATTTTATTCAGCATCCAGAGGACTGACTACATGTTCTGAAACTTTCATCCATGCAGTTCTTTCCATTTCATTTTTTCCAATTATTATTTGTCTAGAAGAAAAGAAGTAGCGACGACCCGGCCATTATGGAATTCAATACACCACACCACCACATTGCGCTCTTGGCCGATTCAAACTCTGCACTCGCATCACCATCACCACAGCGAGGACAATTCCGGTATATAGATTGATATTGACAATGACCCTCCAGACAGCTGTTTCGCTCCTTCCGAGCTCATCAGTGGAGATGGTGATGTGAGTGCAGAGTTTGGATCGGCCAAGAGCGCAATGTGGTGGGGTGGTGTATTGAATATTATTTGTCTACTAGTACATATTCTTCCACGACGTCCTTTGGAGTGCGAATATGCACATTGACGTCACAGGCTCAAAGTCCAAATCTGGAGCGCACACAATTACGAATATCTCACAGACACTGTAACCTTGGAAGAAGACGCTTTGAGTCAGCTCCCAATTACTACGAAATAATGACTTGGCCAGATAGATAATGACTTGGCCAGATAGATCTTGTGGAGCCGACCATTTGTCTGTTGCAGCTTGTTTGATCAGACTGTTTGCACTTCGTTCGAAAATGTAATTGATGTGCTTGCTCCCCTGTGTTTGTGTGCATGCGCGCTTGTGTGTGTGTGTGTGTGTGTGTACGTGTGTGTATGTGTACGTGTGTGTGTACGTGTGTATGTGTACGTGTGTGTGTGTACGTGTGTGTGTGTACGTGTGTGTGTGTATGTGTGTGTGTGCATGTGTGTGTGTGTGTGTGTGTGTGTGTGTGTGTACATGTGTGTATGTATGTTTATCATTGTTGTTGTTTTGTGTGCGCATACTGCTTAGTTATTCAATGGGGCTTATTAGCACAAGGAAAAATCTCGAGCTGTGTGAGAAAGTGTCATCGTCAGCATTCTGCAGGTTAGTCAGCTAACAGGTACCACAGTGTACTACACTGCACTGTACTGCACTACACTGTACTGCACTGTACTACACTGTACTGCACTGTACTACACTGTACTGCGCTGTACTGTACTACACTGTACTGCACTGTATTGCACTTTCAAACGACCCACGTGCCCTTTGCTAGGTTACGACCAATCAGCAGCCTCGGAGAGCGGGCTTTGATATTCCATCAAAGCCCGCTGTCATTGACAACCTGTACGAGAAAACCATCAAAGCCCGCTGCCATTGGCAACTGTACGACAAAACCATCAAAGCCCTGATCATGCCCAATCTCAGTCTTTTCAAGGTGATCTGGCTATAAGAACAAGAAACCGATAGGGGTGGTGGTCGGGGATGCGGTGGCTCTCAACTTGTGGAGTTGGAAATCTAGCTCCAGCACCGCAGAACTCTCAGCAGTATGCAGCGTGAGGAAGGCGTGTATGGTCGAAGTGAAAATACTTCCGTGACTCTTCAGCCACGTCTGGCTCTTGACAAATCCTGAGAAATTTTTCACGAAACAGGTTTTCGTCCACTCACATTACTTTCCCTTTGCTGTAATCTCTGTGTGAAACTAACGAACGGGACGAAAACGACATGCACGTTAGACTTCAGGCTGCTCTGAAATCCCAAACGAAAGGCCGACATTGTCCACACTCGAGATCACCCAAAGAATGAAGCGAGTTTGATTCAAAATCCAAAAAAAATGTTGGGGATCGTCTGAAGCATATTCAAGCGAGGTACAGTCGGGCTTGATGACTGATCAAAGCCCTCGGGCCCAGCCCTTGGGCCTACGGCCCTCGGGCTGGACCCTTGGGCTTTGATCAGCCATCAAGCCCTCTGTACCTCGCTTGATTCGTACTGTACTGCACTGTACTGTACTGCACTGTACTTCTTCTTTTTTTTTAAGAAGAATATAGCACCCATTTTGTTAATCCAGGGGATGGTTCACGCCTGGCATGAAGAAAAGAGAGATAGAGAATAGAATGAAAAATGGAAACAGTGTGAATGAAAAACCTACAATTCTAACGTGTTGGAAACCATAAACAAAACTGTAGGATTAGTTTAGACAGGAAGGTGGCCTTCAGCTACTGCCAGAGACGCACTCTGCTCCCCCACCGATCGACAGAAAATGGGGCGACGTGCTCCGCGAAGGCAGACCACGCTAGCTTGGAGTAGGGCGAACCCAAGGCGGCACCTAATCCACGCCATCACGGATGAGTACGGCTCTGAAGACTTGGACGGCAGCAGGCTGGCAATGCGCTTGTAGAAAGCTGTGCAGCATTTGCCCAATCCACCAGTGGCTGCAAACACAGCCGGTACAAACGACGCGTGCTCTACATTGCGGATTCTCTGCTCGTAGCTTCTTCTCTTCTCCTTCTCATGCCGCTGGTAGCTTTTGGAGACTGGAGTGGACCGGTGTGTACTAGCATACGGGTTGAAAACCCTTACATCAACAAAGGTGCGTTACAAACGGCCACCCCAGACTCCATCCGCTGCGACATCAAGGCGGGCTTGCTCCTCGGTTATGGCAGACCTGTGGCTAAACACCTCTCCTGTGATGGGCTAGAGATGTGGCTCGATGCTCACATTGGTGCAGATACGCTTCAGCAAGCTGGCAGTGACATCGCGGATCTCATTATGCCGTATAGAGGGAAACCCCCGGTTGGGCTGTACTGCACTGTACTGCATGCACTGCACTGTACTTTTTCTTCTTCTTTTTTTCCGAATTATGCCGTATTAAAACGGAAACAGAAAAATAATAAGGCACCCATTTTGATAGTCCAGGGGATGGCCCACGCCTGGTAAAGAGAATAAACCTCGCGAAGAAGTAGAAGTCATTGTACAAAGCATACCACATATGAAAACATTGGCAGATAGTAAAAGATAGTGAAAGGATCATAGAGATCAAAGAGAGAAGAAAAACTAATGGGATAGAATAGCAGCCTCGGCAACACTGCGGCAACCTCAGCGGAAGAAGTGGGGATGTACAAGAAGTTCAAGAACACACGCCTAGCACCACGCAGACACATATGGCTGGCCCGCAGCAGAGCGAAACACAGGCGGCAGCGGAGCATAGCGATGACTGCAGAATAGCGCTCACCCGACTTTTCTGACAGCAGCGAGGCGATGCGCTTGTACATGGCATTGGCACATTTCCCCATACCACCGGTCGTTAATAGAACGACAGGGACAAATGTGGAGTGTTCGACCTCCCTGATACGCTGCTCATATGCACGCTTCTTGGCTTTCTCATGCTTGGTGTAGCAAGCAGCAAGTGAGGAGGAACGCTTCGACGGCGCGAAGGGGTTAAACACCCTGACATCGAGATAAGTGCGCTCGAATCGTCCTCCCCAAATGCCGCTCGCCACAACATCCAGCCGAGCCTGGTCATCTTGGATGGCTGTGCGGTAGCGAAGCTGTTCGCCACTGAGGGGTTGCAGGTGGGGCTCCGTGGGGACCTGATGTGAGACCCGCTTGAGGACCGTCGCCGTAATGTCACGAACCTCGTTATGCCGAAGTGTAGGGAAACCTCCAAGCGAATACGAGAGTGCGTGGGCAACTGTAAATGCCTGGTCACACTGGCAATGGGAAGGCAGACGTTGTGGTGTCCAGTCGTACCGGAGACATACGGCATCTCGGAACTCCTGCTTCGTCAGGGTGAGGCCATGGGCTTGGAGGGGTCGGCAGGTCAACCAGGCAGACGAACCTTTCTCAGACGCTAGGTCCAGTGCTCGCTGCATGGCTGGCTCGACAAGAGAGGAGACCGTGGCCACATCATCCCGGATAGCGTCCCTCACCATCACGCGCGCCTGCCACTTG